GTTTTCCTCTAAGGCAGAATCTGGTGTTGCCAGCAGACACAGCACCAGCAGCTCCCTGTGACCTCCCCTTGCTGAGTGTAAAACCCTCAAACCATTCCCGCTGCTTTTATCCTCCGAAAGCTCTTCGGGGAAGGGAGCAAATCTGAACGCAAATCTGAATGGCGAACGCAAAGGGTTGAGGTGAGGGGGGAATTTGCGGGGATTACGGAGTGTGCCACCGTCAGCAGTTGTGTCTGACGCGGCAGCAATTAGAGCAGATCAAAGGAATCGTCACAGCCTATTTGGGGCTGGCAGATCCCCCTTATGAACGGGAATCCCTGACACCCAAACGCTCAGGGCTTTAGCTCAGCCAGGCCAAAGGTGATTTAAGTCAACACAGTGAGACAACAGTTCGGGAAAGACAGTGAAGGAGGMTGCAATAAAATATTCCTYCCAAAAAATCCWGGGCCACTCGGCTTCCTGGAGGAGYTGGGAGATGCAAACTGCCTCRCTKTTTGTRCCAGGAGAGGGATGCTCTGCCCTCAAACAGCCCAGCACCAGTCAAGCTTGGCCAGAGACCACAGGAACAGTAGGATTCCTTTCACACAAAGCTGAGCAAATGTTCCCAGCAAGGAGCCATCGCTGGCCTGAGCAGCTCACACCCCTCGTGTCACCGAGGAGGGACAGCCAGGGAGCAGCTCCGCAGCTCTGGGCTGGAGACACCTCCGTGCTGTCATTGCTGGSCACAGATAAAGGTTTGTAGTTGGAAGAGGTGGCATCCCAGGGCTCCTTCCTGTCCCCAGGGCCAGGGGACACCTCCTGTCATTTGGGGCATTCACCACTGGGGCCGCTTTGCTGCAGAGCTTTGGCGCTGAGGGATGAATTTCCTCTCTGCCATGTGCTGTGCAGTAATTCCTGTGCTCTCCGGTGCCTGTGGAAGGATCACAGAGGGGATTTGCAATCCCCTCACCCTCCAGGGCTCCTAGCTCTTTCCAGGTATTCACAAACATTTACCCACTCTGAATCCATTCACACAAATATTTGTGGGTGTTCTGATGATCCCAGAGATCCCCATCGATCCCGGGTATCTATAATCGTTTTCATGTACACATTCAGAGCCCTGAGGATGAGCTAAAGAGCTTTGTGTGTGATCCCTGAGGCYGKCAGCTGGATYTGGGCTGTGYTTTGGGCTCTGTGACAGATGGCAGYGGCTCAGGAGTGACACAGGAGCCCACGGACACACTTCCACCCTGCCCTGCACCAAGGTGCAGCGCTCCTTTTCTTACCAGCTCTGGCGTTTTGTTTCAAAATAAATTTAAAAAGTTTTTGGAGTGGCCATTTCAGCTGTGCCCCCACAGGTCAGGCTCTGTGTCCACAGCTCTGCAAGAGCCACACGGACTCAAAGGTGAAACCAACAGTAAAAATCCGAATTTAGGGATGTCAGGATGCTCACAAAGCAATGGAGCTGTGAGTCATCCCTGGGGCAGGGATCCTGATTGTTTGCAGGGCTGTTGGTGCCTTCATATGGAAATGCAAC